CAAGCCATAGCCATGTCTGTTTTAGAGACTAAACTATCTCTCTTGTTTTAATCACCTTCTGCTCTTCCACTAATGAAATAGCATCACTGGGGACCCCTCGGACATGTAAAAAGTCGCCTAATTCCATCATTTTCTGCCAATGTGCCTCCCAAACAGTTTGCATCTTTGTCAGTGAAGCTGAGTGCTCCAACATCTCTTCCTTCATGGTGCCCAAGTCAAAAAGTCAGAATTCTGAGATTAATCTCAGAATTCTAAGAAAAAAAGTCAGAATTCTGAGAATAAAGTCAGAAATCTGACTTTTTTCCCATAATAAACTGAAATAATATTTAAATATCAGTTAACATTCCTCTTCCTTACTTTGGGAACCTTTAAATCCCACATCTGATTTAGAGGCTACAGTATTAATGCAGTTCTAAGGAGTCAATTTTGTTCCATTATCTTTGCAAGGAAATGATGCATTTTTTAAATTGAAATTTAAAACATCTTAGTCGAAAAAGGTTTCGAGAGTTACTGTGCTGTTTATTCAAATTTATTTTCTTGTTTTACACATTTTCAAATTGTTTTTTTTCTTTTGCATATTTTATATGTTCAAATTTTGTTTTTTGAAATTTTAGTTTTTCAGATTTATCAATTTCATTCTTTTCAAATGACATTTTACGGATCACATTCTCTGTACTTCTGGGGCCGAGCTTCTCCTTAGAAGTCGCGTTTCTGTTGGTTCGCATTGGGACATTTTTTTTGGGCAATGTGCATGTCAGAGGAGAGCATTTGTGTTGGGCTTTTCAAACCCAAGCTTTGAAAGAATAAAAAAGGAAAATATAAAGTCTGTACAAAATTTACAAAATAAAGTTTGTAAAAATAAAAGATGTTTAAAAAAAACAAGAATTAGAAAAAAACTAATTTGAGAAACCTGTAAAGTTACTCCCTTCAAAAAACTTTTACCGTATTACATTTTTTTCCACAGGTGATCAGAAAAATTAACATGGCTGATTGCAGGATAATGTTTGTAGAAAAGCTGTTTACAGGATACAAAAGCTCAACGCAAAGCATCTGAACGATCGATTTTAAACTGCTAACTCACAGTGAAAGTGGCCATAAATCATAAGCCTAACTGTAATTTGATGGGTTTTTTCTCCTATGTGACCATCTTATGTCTCTGATGGGTCAAAAAATACAATATAATCGAATGTTTAGGGGTTTATAATTATAATAATTGCATTTAAGTATATGGTCAGCTCTAGTAATCAGTTTTTTTGATTGCTTAAGGAGTTTTATACTTTCCTCAACAGGATGTCTGATTATGTTATATTATTTCTGCTCATTTAAACTTGCACCGCAAATGATGTGAAATCATTTAGATTACTGATTATCTCCTTATCTGTTAAAGCCAAAGAGGTCCTTAAGTAATAAAAAGGTCCATTTATATTCATTTATGCCACAATTTAGCCTCAACTGAAGACTTTATCCTACATTTACTGACGTTTCCAAAACTTGATGTGGTCACTATTAAAAATGATCAGTAAAATAATGAAAAGATAGATCAACCTTTTCTGGTCTGTTTTCTTTAGTTTTTTTGCTGCTTAGAAAAGAAATATTAGATCAAAATAAACGTCCCTTATTACACCAGTTGAAGCCAAATGGTCACACAGACTGGCTGACCGGGCGCGTTAGGGTAGCTGTGCTCCTGGTGTTATGTCAAGCTGTTGTCTTGTGTCTTGGCAGTCGTCGGGGAGAAAGAGAAGATGACTAACAGCGTGAACGTGCGCACGAGAGACAACAAGGTCCACGGAGAGCTGCCGGTGTCTGAGGTGATCGCTCGGCTCTCCCTGCTCAAACAGTCCCGCTGCCGGAACGCTGAAGAGGAGTTCTGATGAAGATGGAGGGAAAACAAACCAGAGCGGGTGGTTGCTTTCCTGGGGCGCGGAAGTTTAGTTAGAGGAGCAGTGAATGGGGCAGATGATGGTGTTTGTTTGGACAGTCAAGCGAAAACCGACAGACATGGAAAATAATCTTGTGTTTGTTAAATGTTAAAAAAAGAGGAAGTTTTGCCGAAGAGATCATCTGTGAACTCTGGAGGGGAAACAGTAGGTCATTTGAAGGAGCCTGAGCTGATCAGTTATAGATGGAGTGTGATGAAAATGATGTGAAATGATGCCTATTTTCACAGAGAACATCCTTCACAAGGATAAATAAAGAGAAAAACATCTTTAAAAATTGGTTTTTGTTTCACTTCACACCAGTGTTTTTACTTGTGCAATTGTTCACTGCTTGTCCATTCTCAGCGCTCAATAGAATCTATGCAGCACATTAACTAAGATCCAGCTCTAAATCAATTAGACTAGTAGCATTTTTGTAGGAGCTGTAATATTAGGTATGCATGTGTTTGTAACATGTGGGGCTTAGTTGCTTTGGTGACAGCCAGTACTAGAGTTGAGGTGGGGATGGCCTCCCCCTTCTTAAAAAATTGTAAAAATCAACCCCATACCATCCCCTTTGACATTTTATTACTGAATATGCAAAAAAACTCTACTTTATATTAACAGTATTGGCAATAATAGTGGGAGAGTGGCGGCCTAGTGGTTTGGGCATTGCGCTTGGAATCCAGAGGTTTTGAGCTCCAGCCCCACTCCCACAGACTGACACTCTGGGTCCCTGAGCAGGACCCTTAACCCCACACGGCTCCCTGGACGCCACACTATGGCAGCCCACTGCTCCCCAAGGGGATGGATTAAATGCAGGGAGTTAATTCCATTGCTCTGTACTTGTGACAGTGTAATGACAATAAAAGCTGAGAAAAAAAATTTGTATTAATAACATTGCCCTTTCGACATTTGGCGGGCTGTGGGCTTACAAGTAGCCTGAGCAAAATAAAATCAAAGAAGTGGCCTAGCATGACTATGAAGCTGATCCCAGAGGAAACTTTGCAATCTACTATAGGGTGCCGTGGTCAAGGTCAATAACCGGCGTACCTGACCTATAAAAACAATACCATGCATATTGCTTTAGGTTAATCGACTATATTAATTGGGCTATGTTGCTTCCACTGGTGACAGCAGATTGCTTAAATTGGCGTGTTTACCTGCACTCCGCAGTAGAGAGGGGAGTGAGGTAGCCATATTTTATGGACCGTTTGCTTTAGCATTTAAATCAGGGTCACATCATGTACTTTACGATCTGTTGTGAGTGATATGATGTAAGCCACTGGATATTATTAAAACGCAAAGCGTATTCATGGATTCCATGTGCATTTCTGCTCAAGGTAGCAGTGCGTCACACACATACGGGACCCTGTTATATAAGGATTTGCTAAGGAGTCGCTACAATTTTATGTACTCTACCGTTCAAAAGTTTGGGGTCACATTGAAAAGTCCTTATTTTTGAAGGAAAAGCACTGTACTTTTCAAAGAAGATAACTTTAAACCACGGTAGTCTTAACTTTAAAGAAATACACTCTATACATTGCTAATGTGGTAAATGACTATGTCTGGTTTTTGGTGCAATATCTACATAGGTGTATAGAGACCCATTTCCAGCATCTATCACTCCTGTGTTCTAATGGTACAATGTGTTTGCTCATTGGCTCAGAAGGCTAATTGATGATTAGAAAACCCTTGTGCAATCATGTTCACACCTTTGAAAACAGTTTAGCTCGTTACAGAAGCTACAAAACTGACCTTCCTTTGAGCAGATTGAGTTTCTGGAGCGTCAATTAAACGCTCAAAATGGCCAGAAAAAGAGAACTTTCATCTGAAACTCGACAATCTATTCTTGCTCTTAGAAATGAAGGCTATTCCATGCAAGAAATTGCTAAAAAATTGAAGATTTCCTATAACGATGTGCACTACTTCCTTTAGGGGACAGCACAAACAGGCTCTAACCAGAGTAGAACAAGAAGTGGGAGGCCGCGTTGCACAACTGAGCAAGAAGATAAGTACATTAGAGTCTCTAGTTTGAGAAACAGACGCCTCACAGGTCCCCAACTGGCATCTTCATTAAATAGTACCCGCAAAACACTAGTGTCAACATCTACAGTTAAGAGGCGGCTGCGGGATTCTGGGCTTCAGGGCAGAGTGGCAAAGAAAAAGCCATATCTGAGACTGGCCAATAAAAGACTAGGAAAAAGATGGTCAAAAGAACACCGACATTTTGTGGACAGATGATTCCAACTTTAAGGTGTTTGGATCACAAGGAAGAACGTCTGTGAGACGCAGAACAAATAAAAAGATGCTGGAAGAATGCCTGACGCCATCTGTTAAGCATGGTGGAGGTAATGTGATGGTCTGGGGTTGCTTTGGTGCTGGTAAGCAGGGGGGTATAAAAAAAAAAAAGTGGAATCAACCAAAACTTTCATGATCCAATGCAGTACCTCCGTGCACCTCCTGGGGGTTGCAGACCTCCTGTTGAAGACCTCCACTCTGACAAATTAATGAGTAACTGAGAAAGGTTTATTTGTAAAAGAAAAAGTAAAGTTGAGGAGTCTGCATTGTACTTGAAATCATTAACCTTTGTGCTACTTTGTTCTTTAAAGCTTTGATAAAAGACTCATGCAATTTGAGGAGCACAGAAGGCACAGGGTACATGTTGACCCCTTTGTGAGACCCACATTAGCGTTATAAATGAGAAACCAAGCCTCTGCCGAAACCCGGGACCTTCAGATCTTCAGTCTGACGCTCTCCCAACTGAGCTATTTCGGCTGTTGCACAACGGACCAGCCCATAGTAAAATAATTTAATCTATATTTATATTTAAACATTTTATCCTCTCCTAAGTAATTTTGTCCCTTTTAACCATCCTTACTTGATGGAGAACAAGGATGCGTTCACTGAAATCCAATAAAAATGTTCCACGACAGCTACCATATTTCTTCGCTGATTTCACCCGAGTTATTTCAAAATAAATCTGGTGAAAAATAAGTTATTCAAAGATATATGTTTATATTGGTCTATTGGTTCAACGAGTAAAGAAAAAAAGAACTGAGAAGATAGTCAAAGAAATGCGTTCCTTCGTAATTCCTACGGGTCATGAATGCAGCAGCTGCTGCTTCTTGTTCCGCAGCAACAATGGCTACCAGCTGCTACTTATGGAGACCAGACCGAGGACGAAGCTGGAAACATTATGGAATATTTGTCATTTTGCTGATGGATTTGGTATTACAGTGCGTAAATGGTACGTTCAAAAATATAATTTATTCAATAAACAGCTTATAGCCGTTAGTTTTGTAAGCATAGCTAGCAACACGGAGCTAGCATAGCAAGCTAGCTGCTTTTGAATGAAAATACTGACCGATTTGAGCTGATTAAATCCTTTTAAATTACTTTTAATAAGAATCAGTCAGCTTTTGAAACTCGTTCGGACAGAGTTACTGTTGCCTCTTTTCATCCTGGTGAAGTAGGAAATAATTGGTGATAAGTTTTCCTAAATAAGCTGCGTATTTTATGCTTTTTTTTTTTTTTTTTTTTTTTTTTTTTTTTTGTTTTTATGTTTTTAGCTTACCTGAGTTCACCACATGATGGCCAGGATCTTCCGCACACAAGAGATGCCCAGCAAGGATCTATCTTTACCAGCCCGGTGGTCACTGCTGCAGCCTCTGGTAAGTTTAACAGATGTACGTTTATCATCAGTAATATACCCTTCGAGATGTTTTAGCAGATTAAATAATTAAATAGAATAGATAATCCCTACCATAACCCCCCACCCCCCCCACTCCCATAAATAGGAAAATTGTAAATATTATTTATTTTTAAATGAACAGCTCAATACCAAAGATGTTATATTAATCAATCACATTTCTGCTAAATTTAAATATTTATCCACATCATAGTCTTTAGGATAAACAGGTTAATATTACTGTTTTATTAAAAATAAATCTGGTTTAAATTGAAACCCCTCAGTTATGATATAGATGCAAATGATTGTAGAAGATATTCTGCTATCATTTTCCAAATCTAGATACATCTCTAAAGAAAAAATGAAGGGAGGGGAAATATTCAAATTTCCAGATTTGTTTCTTCATCCACACAAACTTTTTAAAATATGAAAATTTCATAGAAAACATTTCTAAAACTGTTAAAGTGAAGCTCATGGGTTATATGCCAGCCCACACTTCCAACAGACCCTGGAGACTCGTTTAATTATGAAATGTAAAGTTTTATTTTAGTTCTCTTCGTTTCTGATGTCTCTGGTTTAGTTTTTGAAGCTGAGATTTGGCTGCAGTCCAAACCTGTCGAGTGTGTCAGCTCCCATTTTTCCCTCCTAACTTTCCAATAATATGATTGGATACGACTCTTTGTGTACAGCAAACTTGACTTAGCAGTGATTTTTTATTTTTTATCTTTTTTGTCTTGATTTTCTACTTTAAAGATCTTCAGAGTAATTGACTTTTAGATAGGACTGAAACAATTTCATTAATTATTGAAATATTCATCAACTAATATAGTCATTGAATAATTGTTAGCTGAAGTATATAGACTTGAAAACCTGCCTTTAGTTGACAGAGTGACCGCCTTAGAGCAGCAATTTGATCAAAATTATTAAAAATATATAAATATTTGCATATAAGAGAACATTATTTTTTCCGTCTGTCAATCTGCTCTAACCAGAAATCCTCAAGTGGAAAAGTTTCAGTTTCACTTGGTTTAATTCGGTAAAAAAAAAACTTCTTTAAGGATCCTTTTGCTATCCAATTATTAATCAATTAAGCAAAAAACATTAGCAACGGTTTAATTGATTAGCAAAATAGTCGTTTTAATCACAACCCTACTTTTACAGGTGAAATTGCCGTAAGCAGGAAAATAATCAGTCAAATAGATAAATATTATATGAAAATATTTGCCTGTCTTTCTAAAGTTTTCTTCACAAATTCCCCACGGTTGTTTGCTCTTAGCATATGTAGCTTTTTACTGTTTGTAATAATTCCAGAGCAAAGGCATATCTAATGTGCCCTCTATAAGTAGCTTATTGTGGGGGTGTAATGCATCAAAAACCTGGTTTTCTTTCATCAAAAATTTAGCCATAAAAGTAAAACAAGCCGGACTGGTTAAAAGTTTATGAAAACATTGAAATGAACATTGCCTATTGAACCAAGATCTAACACAGTTTTTTTAAACAAAATATTAATAACAATATT